TAACATGTAGTTAATAAAGGAATAATGGATGTTATGGGATTAAATACTTGATTGTATAATTGTATAATGTTATTATTTCTGAGTTAATGAAATTAATTATAAACTATTATAATAAATTGTGGACTTGAAATAATAATTAACCTGAATAATTAGAGATAATTTTCAAAGTTAATGAAATTAAAAGATGATTAATAAATAGATATTAATATTAAAGATAATGATAAAATTAAAAAGATATTGGAATAAATTAGATGAAAGGTCTGATTCTCTTTCTAAAATAACTAAATCAGTGGTACCTTCTAAAGTGATGAAACAACAGTCTTACCTTCAGAGAAAGACTATAAACTCCTTAAAAGAACCATTAAGTTACTCTACTAGGTGGTTCTTGAGAAAACCAAGAATCACCAGTGACAATGTTCATTAAAGAGAAATCTTGAAGAGGAATCAATCACTTAAAAATCCTTTATAAAATATTGGAGAAGCCTAATATGTTTAACTATCTTCTTGAATACTTATGTAATTTAAAGCACAAAATTCTTTCAGTTAGCGAAAAACAAAAAACATATAGAGGATGAATTGACACCATTACCGAAATCTGAAAAATACATCTTTTAACATGGATCCAAAAGTTAGTGAAAAAAAGTGTTGATAATTATAAGATGTTGTATTTGCATTTTTTTTTGTTTGAGCAGAAGTTGGTCACTTCTTTTGCATTCATTCTCTGTTTTGACTGTGGAGAAAGATCTTCTGTTTTCAGAGAGCTGTATCAACGAGAAGATAGGAAGTTACGGTGATTCTCTGTTTTCACATTGTGATAAAATCTATACATATTCCCAAAATTGATTTTTGATTTTTGAGATATTTTGACTTTTTGAGATTTATGCAGAATCTATTCTATATATGGAAGTAAAAAAAGTATCCAGTTATGTGTATATTCAATCAAAGAATAAATTTGGATGGTCAAAAAATTTTGGATTTTAAGTAAAATAATTTCATCTTCTATGAAAAACTATTTCAACTTTTTTTTTCAAAATTGCAATTTCGGGACTTCAAAATAATTTTGCATGCAAGTATAGTAGAATCCTCTGTCTCTCACCCTATTTTTACGGGACTCTGTCATATGTTGGTCCATCCTATGTTTTGGCACCACAGTTGATTGCAGATCCCTTTAAGATACATTTTTTGTTTCTGTTTTTTTTGCTTTTAGGGTGAATTATTTGTGTATAACCTTTTTTCACTTTGATAGAAAAGAACAAAGATCCCAGGCTGTTATTAGTTTTTGGAAGAATATTGATGATCTTCAAAATAAAGCCTGGCTTGGCAAAGAACTGTTTACCATGCACTTTGAAGGATTTATGGATCTGGTAGATATCAGAATATACTGCACGTTATTTTAGTATGCAACATGTGGTGTCCATATTGTGCAATTAATAAACCTTGTACCAAGCAAGTTGCATCTAATAGAAATGAAATGTGTCTTTCTGAAAATTTTATTAATACGCGTTCAGCTTTATTATTGATGTGTGAAAAAATCATAAATGGTTTGCACTAATATCCTTTAGAGCAATGCCATAATAAAGGTAAATTATTATTAATATATTTTTCAGAAATACATTTTGCTTAGAAATTTCAGGTCTTCTATGTGCACAATCTGGCATCACCCGTTACATTTTATACTATAAAGATTCGCATATTATTTATGTCCTTTATTACAACACCATAATAAAAACAATTTATTATTAATATATTTTTCTGAGAGACATTCGCCGTTTTTGTTACGTGCTATCTCTTTAGCAATTGAAATATCAAGCCTAGTATCTGAACAAGTAGAACATCATGTTTTGTTATTTTTTATACAGTCAAAAGTATGTCCTTTGGTATATTTCCAGTACATCGGGTTTTATTATTTATATATTCTTTGGATAAACATTTTCTTCTGCGAGATTCAGCTATTTTTATTGCATCAGTTAACAATAATTTTTTAGGCATTGTAGTTAATAATCATTTTAAAATCTTAATTTACTTCTAATTTCAAAATTTGATCCCAACCAAGGGTACACTTAAAGGAACGTCAACTGATTTAGCAAAATCAAAAACTATAAATTCTCACTCTCGTAAATGCTTAACAATGATCTTGGACGCTTTTTTTGGATCATCTGTATATTGACGTATTATTCTGCAAATGTCGTCTAGACTGCCACTCCCCGGAATAAAGCCAATTAGGAGAAAAGAGACATTGTAAGCACAGTTTTCTATTTTATGTCGCATTAATTATATTTAGCCAATCACTACATGTTTAATCACGTGTATATCAGTCCAATTACAGGAAAATTCTGTCATACTACTGTGTTCGATCGAATTCGCGTCTTTTTACGCGTTTTTTTATGCACAAAATTTTCTCATTTTAACAACTGAACTGAATAAAAAGAATAAAAAGAATAAAAAAGAAATTAAACTTCTTCTTGTCGTGTTGCGTAAAATATATAGTAAACAGATAAATAGTAAGAGATAGTTGAATTATTGTTAAAAGTGTTGTAAATGAAGAATATGTATTTATCCAAAATTTTATATTTGTTATCCTGTTAGGTTTACAAAAATGGAAAACCAAAGCCAACAAGACAACGCTAGTCCTCTCAGATCAGTTGGATCAATTGGGAGAACTCCTATGAGACAATCCCCTTTTAGGAATTCTCCAGTAGCATATAGATATGCAATTAATCAAAGGATTAATGATGCTAGATTGACATTATCGAACGTTGCGGGGCTTGGCAATTCTCAAGCAACACCTGGTGGATCATATATATCCCCTTCTCGTCGCCGTTTGATGCGTTCTAATAACTCACCATCAAGTGGTGTGATTTCATCACCTTCGACAGTTGTATCTGCATTAACCCCCCAAGCAAGAGCTAGAAGACCTTTACTTTTTAATAGACAAACTGCACCTAATTTGAATGAAGACTCGGAACGCCTTGAACAAGAACCATCAACTGATCCTTTAAAAATTTTATTAGAAAACGAAACAAGAAATTCCAAGTAAATGAAAAATAATTAAAAAGAAATATTCATTAATATTTTATAATTTGACCTTTTGATCTTTCTTAATAAAATAGTGATATTCAGATTTCACCGAAATCAGTTAGGAATCGACGTGGAGATATTCATAGTAGTATTAGGTTGCCATTGTTGAATAATGTTAAAGATAATAACCAAATGAATATTGGAGATAAGATAAAAGAGAGAAAGAATCAAATATGGGGAACAAATGTTCAAATAAATGATGTACAAAATTCTTTTGAAGATTTTCTTCTCAATTTCAAACTATTATATCGTAAACAAAAGGAAGGATTTGCTATCACAGAGATAGATAAACGACCATTTTATCAATTATATATTAAGAAGGTGAGATTTGAAATATTAAACCCAATCAAAAGAATAAAATAAAATAATCTAAACAAATAATAACTAAATAAGTATATATTAATTTAGATTGAAGAAACTCAAATATTTAAATTAAATCTTGACATACAAAATCTTCTTGCGTATGAACCATCAAAAAAATTATATTTTCAACTTGTAAATTTTCCACAAGAAATCATCCCTATTTTTGATGATGTACTTACTTTAGTTTACAAAAGAATTCATAAAATTAAAGATCCTCATGGTGCAATATCATTAAAGGTAAACCATTCTATTTGAATTAATCATTTCTTTGACTGAGAAATTTCTTTTTATTATATAATTCTAAAATATTATTTTAGGTTCGACCTTTTAACTTGGGAAAATCTACAAATATGCGAGAATTAAATCCATCCGGTAATTAATTATAATTAACTTATTATCTAGGATATATATATACACACATTTATTTACTATTTTTATTTTATTCTTTTAAAGATATCGATAAAATAGTATCCACTAAAGGTCTTATAATTCGAAGTTCTCCTATACTTCCTGAAATGTCGGTTGGTACGTATTTTAAAATGTAATATCCATATTGCTGTTTGCTTCATGTAAATTTTTAATTTATTTTTTTTTTAAAAAAAAAAAAAAATTATAAAGCATCTTTCCGTTGTTCGATTTGTGATTCTACTGTCGAGGTTGAAGTTGATCGTGGAAAGATTGATGAACCTTCAAAATGTAGTCGACGTGATTGTAATTCGTCAAACACTATGATGTTAATACACAATAGATCCTCTTTCAAAGATCGCCAAATATGTCGATTACAAGAAACTCCCGGTTCGTTAATATACATCTCTCTCTCTTTCATTATGTACGTAAAATCTAATCAATTAATTTCTGCAATTGTTTAGATTCTATTCCTGACGGGCAAACCCCACATTCAGTTTCACTTTGTCTATATGATGATTTGGTAGACACAGTAAGACCTGGTGACAAGTAAAGTGTTTGACCATTTCCTTTTTAGTGACCGACCTATTTGTTTATACATAAAGTTTTCATAACTTAAAATTAAAAACATCAAAATTTTCAGAGTGGAATTGACCGCAATTTACCGTTCTGCGCCAATTCGAGTCCACCCTCGTACACGTACCATTAAAGCATTATTCAAAACTTATCTTGATGTAGTACATGTCGCGAAATTTGAACAAAATCGCACTGCCGCAGATTCGACTGATCTTGGATTCGATAATTTTGAGTAGGATGAATTATTTATTGGTTATATTGTTAAACGTAAAGAATGAAAAAATATTTCAAACAATGAAAATAATGCTTAAAATATATTTAAAACACTATCAGTTCCGATGAAGATGGAGATATTAATATTTCAGAGAAAGTGCTTATGAGTGATGATCAACCCGAAATTGACATCCGAATGAAAACTTCATCCGAAAAACATGAAAATCGACCTGAATTTACTGAAGAAGAGATACGATGTTTTAATGAATTGTCAAAAAGACAAGATTTATATGAATATTTAGCACGTTCATTAGGTAGATTAAATAAACAAATAAATAAATAAATATTTTTTAATTGATATTAACTTTCTAAATTTCATTCATAGCTCCTAGTATATTTGGATTGGACGATATTAAAAAGGGAATACTCTTACAATTATTTGGGGGTACTAACAAAAAATTTGAAAAATCTGGTTCTCCTCGTTACAGGGGAGATATAAACGTTTTGTTGGTCGGTGATCCTGGAACTGCGAAATCACAAATGTTACAGGTAATTTTAATGATTTCTTCTTAATAATTAGGGGTTATTTGTGGTTTAAATATCTTATAAACGCATATATGAATCGGTGGAAATTAGTATGTACATAAAATAGCTCCCCGTGGTATTTATACTTCTGGAAAAGGATCTTCGGCTGTTGGACTTACAGCATATGTCACAAGAGATCCCGATACTAAACAGATGGTACTTGAGAGGTATATATAAATATACAAGACAATTCAACAATTAAGTTGTTATATGATTTATAAGTATTCATATCGATATTTTTGTATATAAAAAAATAGTGGCGCTCTAGTTCTTAGTGATGGGGGAGTGTGTTGTATAGATGAATTTGATAAGATGTCAGATGGAACACGTGCTATTCTTCACGAAGCAATGGTTTGTACTTTTCCTCAAGTATTTTATTACTTAATTCTATTTAGTCATTTCTTATATTTATAACAGGAACAACAAACGGTATCAGTTGCCAAAGCTGGAATAATTACTACTCTTAATGCTCGAGCTTCAATACTCGCATCCGCAAATCCCGTTGATTCAAAATATAATCCTAGACTTTCCATAGTGAAAAATATTGATTTACCACCAACTTTAATGTCTCGGTAAACACTAACATAGATTGAATATAGATTGATATAGATTATTTATAAAGAAATATATTTAATTCTCAATTTCAATCGATATAGGTTTGACCTTATTTATCTAGTAGTAGATAAAACAGACGAAAGAGCGGATAGGAGGCTAGCAAATCATTTGGTTTCATTGTATTTAGAAGACTCGCCATTTACGGCGGGAATTGATATATTAGTAAGAATACTAAATTTATTAAACTTTATTACTTTAAAAAATTATGAAATTAATAATATCAATCACATTAATCTATTATTATCATTTATTTATAGCCAGTAAAGACTTTAACGAAATATATTAGATATGCGCGTAAAAAATTTCATCCAATAATTGGAGACGATGAATCGGCCAATGCTCTTGTAACCGCGTATGTTAATTTGCGTAAAAGGGGGATTAATCCTCGTACATCGGAAGTTGTTATCACGGCGACCACCAGACAATTGGAATCAATGATTAGACTATCAGAAGCTCACGCTCGTATGAGGTACATATATATTTTCTCTAATTTCTATTTTAATATAAAAAACATCATCACAACTTAAAAAATTTCTTTGTTAGACTTTCAGATAAGGTTAAAATAATTGATGTCAGAGAAGCAGAAAGATTACTTAAAGAAGCAATACAGCTTGCCGCATTTAATCCTGAAACTGGTCAAATTGATATGGATATGATTACTACAGGATTTAGTAGTAGCGAAAGAAGATTGATGGAAGATATGCGTAGAGAACTTAGAGAAATGTTTTCACGTATAGATTCAGACACTATAACGTGGAGAAAAGCATTTGAGGATTTCAAGGCTCAATCATACGAGGCAATTTAAAAAAAAATTTATTTATATTATATACATATATTTTTTTTTGTCCAAAGATTAATAAAGTCATTTATTAATACATTATTTCTTAATTTATATTATTTATATTTAGAATCTCAAAGAAAATGATTTTGATCGAGCACTTAAATTTTTGGACCGTGAAGGGTTCATCAAGCAAACCGGAACCGGAGAGCGTAGAGAACGATTAATTAAAAAAATTGAATAATTTTAGTACTAAAGTGCTATTTATTCGTGAATTTATGCAAAAGTCTTAATAAATTTAATAAAACAATTTCCTATTTAACAAATGGTGTGATTTTTATATTTTTTTAAAATAATTTACCTTTGTTAAATAAAGTAAAATAAAAATAATGGATCGTCTACATGATATCAATTTATTTTTGGTTTTCTTCATCTTCAACTAGTTTATCTAATTTGTCTTTCACATACTTTATTAATTGATTCAAATTGTATAGCCGTAAATATCACATACGGCTATAAAGTCCTAGCCTTAAATGCCTTAACACCTTAATGTTTTTAAATGTAAAAATATCAAATATAATTTCGACAGGTTAACTCCGTCATAGTGATATAATCACGAAACCCAATATGAATATCTAATTTTTATATTTTAAACACCATTATTACCTTTATTATCAAAAAATGTATATATATTTATACATACCCTGGAGATGGATTACGGTATGTACCTGTAAGAGGGATGTAATTTTTTTGCATATCTGAACATGGGTGAAATTAAACAGCTTTGTCTTTTAATTTTTTTAAAATTGTGAGAAATCAAAGAAATTCCTGTAAGTAAATGACTATTTAACAGTTTGTAACCGATTTATATAATCATGAGACATTAAACGGACTCCTAAACTTTAGTAATCGATCAATTTATTGGTGTGAAGATGCTTTAAGTGAAAAATCTGTTTTTTTTTAAACAAGAAACATATCGTTACATTACTGCGCCTATACATGTTTTTCTATTTTTTTTTTTGACGATTACGAACTCGTCATTCGAATTGTTGGGCAATGTAGTCGTGATTAAATTTTTGCTATATAATAGTATATAATTTCAAATTTTGATGGTCAATATTGCAGGCAGGCAAAATTTAACACCTCACATACTGATATTGTGAAGAGGCCACGTAAGTTTATAAAGTAATAGTCACCTATCCGTTAAGATATCTTATAACAATTATTTTTATGGAATTAAGAACACAATTTGACATGGTGCATAATGTAAACGTGGCCTCGAGACGTTTTTAAGAATGACGCTGTAATCGTACTCCTCTTCCAACTTATGAAGAATGTGTCATCAATGCTGAGTCACCGTGATTCTTCTGCATCTCCCACCCGCACCCGCAGGGTTCCTAGTAGAAGAGATGAGGTTAGCAATCAAGTAATATAAGCAATTAAAATTCAGATGTATCTTTATCAGGGTAGTTAAATTTTGTAATAGTTTGCTCACATTGGGCTTTGTGTTTATTTTTTTCCCATGCACAGGTTTAACTTGAATTGGTTTCTAAATATACTAGATTATTATTGACCGTATTATTACGTCTAAAATTCTAGATTATTTAAAACTCTCATTATTATGAGACCGAGAGATTTATTCTTCACTTTCCTTTCTCTAATAACATCTGATATCACTATTTCATTTCAATCAATTTCACTATAGCATCTATAATAAAAATAACAATGAAATCATATATCTTTAACCTTATTGTTCTTGTTGCTTTATTTTCTCTTGACTTTATTGAAGCCAAGAGAGAACCACCTAATAAATATATAACTCCTATACAAGCAGGGATCTGTAAAACAGCTCTCGTAAAATCTAATGGAACACAAAACCCAAACGGAGAATGCTCCAGTCAAATTCTAGGTGATTTGCCATCATCTTCAAAAATGGTTTCCACCCTCATTGTGAGTCCTGAGAATGGTGCTGAAATCACTGCCAATAAAAGATTTAAAATTAGAGTCGAGATTTCCAACTTACAAACTGGTTTCTTCGCTGACCCTGCTACTGATTACTACGATGTACCACAAACACTTACAGAAGATGGTATTATAAGAGGACATGTTCACATTTCCGTTCAAAAATTGATTGGAAATGGAATCCCTAATCCAAATTTAGTTGAGTTTTTCGAAGGTTTAAGCGATGTAGTTGATAATAAAGGAGGATTAGAAACAGAAGTTCCAGGTTTATTCCCAGGTTTTTATCGTCTTTGCACGATGACTGCATCCGAAAGTCATCAACCTGTTGTTATGCCTGTTGCTAGACGTGGATCTCAAGATGATTGCATCCGTTTCTCTGTTACATAAATTTTTTAGAATAGTCATTTATATATTGACTTATCCATTAAACTTCCGTGGGGTAATTGTTATTTGTGTATATACGGAACTTTATTGTAGTGAATTTATAAATAATGTGTAGGTTTTGAATTTGGTGACTGTTGTAATTAATTTAAATCTAGTTAACCGTTAAAAATATAACTTATTCGCTAATTGCGAAAATTGAACTTACACAAAAACGATTCTTAGTAAAATTAATAAAAACATATAGATAACGAACTTATGACTAATAGTTAAAGTTGTTCTTGATTAAAAAAAATATTATTATTATTTATACAATATATACAAGTGGCTGAGTTTAAAGTCAAGAAAAATCGTCTGCATCGAATTTTTGAAAGCTATTAAAATCCGTAAACTTAATATATTTAAATAAATTATCTTTAACCTATTGAGTTTTTAAACTAACTGGTTCTTGGCTAATCTTCGTTTCAGCAAAGTGATCTTTTTTGTTATGTGGTCTTCTAACTTTGGAATACAGGTTAAAGCGATCCTATCAAACACTTTATTGCAATTCTCTTCATTCATCGGATCAACTCGCATATACTCAACAGCTCCAATTCGGTTTGCAACTGCTTCTGCCTGTTTTCTACTCTCAAATTTCTTACACCTATTTTTTATCTTTCTTTCTCAACACTTCCGAGAAACTCAGTAAATGAAAAGCATTCATCGTCGATAACTGGTATCGAATCCTGTATTTGTTTGTTATTTCCAACCAATAATAAAGGCAGGATCTTGTATAGAAAACTTTTTTTGACATCAGGAATTCGATATTAGTGGGTAATGCAAAGCAGAGAATTATTGCACCTGTATCTTTGTATTCGATCTCATGATTATCATTCCCTAAGTCAAAATGGCCAATTGCATCGTAAATTGAATAAACAAAATAATGACCAAGTGGTTACCAATCAAAAGGTAGCAATGGGAAATAGAATTCTTGGTTATATCTACTGGAATGATAAAAAGCATGGCGAGCAAGTCCAATATCACTATCTCTGATTATTGCTATTTTTAGCCAGATTGCATTAAAATTCTTTGCGCCAGTCGATAAGTGACTTGAGAAAGGGATGGAATAAATTTCTTTAAATAATATAAGAAACTTAAGGTGATTATTATAATAATAATGATGATCAACATTTTGATATTTTATATAAAATTTAAGTTGTAATATTTGAAATTTTGAGGTTAAAATTTTAATACATACGAGGCAATTGCACAATAGTGATTTCTTTCCAGAAACGTCACATATGAACTAACTCATGATATGAGAAATGCAGGTTGTGTAACTTACCAAGCATATTCACTTACCTACAGCTTGAGTTCACAAATTTTATATCCTATATTTAAATTATATTTACACTTTCTATATTAGGTTAACTTTGAAAATATAATCATAATTTGATAGCTTAAACCTAGTACTTTCAAATTACAATGTTAAAATTAAATTTTAATTTATAATATAAAAAGTTATCACCCCTTTTTTAAAAAAAATTTACTAATATTATATAATAAAATATCAAATTTTGATAAACTGTACGGTACGAAATGCTATTTTGTACTGTACGATTTTACATAAAATTTGCACAAAATTCATATAATACAGTACACCTTATTATATATATATATTTAAATTGTACTGTATGAAATTTTTTATGTTAAGTACTGTACAGGAGTAATACGTAAAGGTGTGGAGTCCGGTCAATCACATGAGTGGTGTACACCCTAAAAACTGAAGTTGAGTACGGTGTACTTAATGAGGCTGTACACAGTTGTAAATTATACAAATGTGTACAAAAAATTTTAGTACACTTGTACAAATGTGTATGAAAAAATTTCAGTACTCAATTTGAAATTTGTAATTTGACTTATT